AAATATAAATGGGACAACGAAATGATTATGAACATGAAGGACATTTTCTATTTTACTTAATATGATCGAACATTTTGCACATTTTCTAAGCTGACATTCGAAACATAAGAAAGATAATTTGTAGGTGATTTAGTCCATCTTTCTTTGTATGTAAAATAATGATTATCTAAGGAATGATAAAGGGTTCATCAGTTCATTGAGTAAGTGACATGTTGAAATAGAAACAATGGATGCAATTTATTGTGAAACATTTTCTTCAAACAGGAAAATTAATATTGACATAATCATTACTCCACCCTAATATCTAAGAACAACAACAATAGCATGAAGAAAATTCCCAACTATTTCCTATTCTTATATCATAGCTTTCGATACTGTATATCTTTTCCTTAACACATACTTTTTGTGGTTGATATGTAATTGTGACTCCCTCTGTAAGAAACAAACCATATACTGGTACAAGTTGTGGTTAAGTGGTCAGTGGATGACTTTATTTATTTTTCAAACCCAGTAACCTATCGATCGATCGATCAATCAATCAATCGCCATCCATCCATCCATCCATCCATCCATCCATCCATCTATCAATCGTCCCACCCAAATTCATCCATCCATCCGAGTCAGTAAGTCAAAATCGTATTAGAAGTGTTTCATCTCTGTCCCAAGAAAACCTCTAAGGTGATTTGCTTTTAAGTAAAAATACTGAAACCCTATCCTAAATAATTCTGAGAATCATCTGACCACTGAATAAACAGCACATGAGCAATTGTCTACCTTTTTACATATGTGAAGGGGTGTCCGACTTCCTGTCAGCAGCCGAAGGCTTTCGTCAAAATGATATAAATAATCAAAGGTAGTAAAAAATCTGAAGTTCGGAAGCATTAATCACAACAAAATAACATGAAAATTACAGTCTCGGTTTGATTGAATCTGTACTTTAGGGATAATGAAAAAAGTGCAACACCCCTCACACCCCCTAAAACCGGATTGAGCGGAACTCAATTTTAAACACTTAAAAGTGCTTTAATCAATGATCCTGAAAGACCAGAAAAATGTCACAACACTGAAGGGAAGTACGGGACAACTTTTTAAGCCGTGGGATTCGAACATACTTAGGGGAAAACCTATAAAAAGGACGCCATGGGTATTTAAACGTTGCAACGGAACCTCTTTTTCTACTTATTTGATGTATATGAAAAAATTATGGTGACAGTTACATGGAAACATTTTTCCGACCTATTTGTGCAGCAATTAGCCTAGCTGTCAAATCAATGTTCATTATTTGATATATAAGGAAATATATTGACCACGTTAGCGGGAGAAATGTATTGTATGTTATAAATAAAGAAAGATCATTCAATACTCTACACTAACTCTTTGTACTTATATTTGACATATTTACATGCAGGACACATCTTTGATGTAATTATTAATTTCACAGATACATCAATAACGGTAACCTTTCAAGAGTTTGATGATAGAACAGTGATAAACAATACGTGTTTTGATGCTGTAGACATCATGTCCCCACCTCGTACGAGAAAAAAGAGACTTCTGGTTACTAATGATTGTTTAGTCGTTTTATCTTAAATATTTCAATAAAGCAATTATAACACTTATTATAGTTTATCAATGCATGTGATTAATAGCACGCTACCCTAGAATTTACACAACGATCATTAACCTCGCGAATAACGGATACATCAGAACTTTTACATTGATAAAACAACAAACCCAGTATTATTAATGATCGGCATTACGAAACACTGATGCGTTCATCAAAGAACTTAATGAAGCATATTTTAGCAAATACACAAACCAATTACCCCATTCAGTCACCCATAACAGTTTCCTTGACAAACCAATTACTTCCAAAGTGAAATTAGGCGAATAAATACATAGATATTACTGACTGGTTATTTCTAGGAACAGCAAGACACAACATTCACTGTTATAACAGTCAGTGGGCATTATGCATTGTTAACCACAAACTTCACAGTTCACTAGCGTGATCAAAAAGGCTTCAATATTGATTCATTTAAATCATTTAAATTACAAGTGCTAAACATGATAACAATTGCAGAATGATTAATAAATCATTGGTCAATCCTTAACACAAATAAAGTCACGATTTAGAACGGTACAATTTTGAGTTTTACCAACCACTCAGCGAAATCATTTTTAAAGCTTAGAAAAACAATTACATGAAACTAAATGTTGACACTTGATAAGGATAAGTCATAGATTTAGAGATACAGGCCTGTTGTATATTCTTTTTGAAACAACTTACCTAAATTTTTATTTAATACGAGAATGAAAACGCTTGAAATGGAAGCATAAAATGTGTGTACTGTCAGTCGTATATTAAATTGGCCACGAGGATGATATAATTATAATGTATGTATATGTTTCATTTTAATAAGTATATGGAGAGAGAGAGAGAAATGAGATAAACTATAATTAAAATAGAATAGAAAAGAAAAATGTAAAATTAAATCAGGAAAACATATTGTCAAAAAAACTTAATGTGGTTAATGAAACAAGAAAACATTTATTTGTATCTATTTTAATACGTTTTTGTAACTTAAACAGAGTTTACATGTTCTGACTCGTGATATGATCTGGTATGTAATCATGTTCCGTGAAAATATTTTCTATACCTAATTCCATTCGAAGATACTTTACAACAAAATTATACAATATATACATTGGGATTGGTGTTTAAATGTAAACGTGACCTGTTTCATGCATTGTTTAGCTTCTCCATTTAGATACAAAGAAGAAGAATAAGTCTACGTACTATATCTACCACAGTCAAAGTAGTATGTTAGAAAAAGCGCATTTTGTGGTCATTTCATTAGAAAAGTAAATTTATTGAAAGTGTAACCATAGCGGTTATGAGGACATGTACATGTATGATGATCTGACAATAATGTGTTTATGCTGCATCAATGTTGATCATGTATTAGAATAATAGACATATAAACTCTAAACATTATAAATGACTATATACATAAGTATATAAATAAGTATATAAATAGGTACATGTACATAAGTGTATATAAATATATGTAAGGAAACATAAATAATGTTATTAAGTATGAAAAACTATATCCATAAGTCTAAATACATGTTGGTTCATGATACTTACCAAGGGGCAGGGCGTGAAGTGGTGGCACACTTGGTTCAAGCGAGAAAATTGGTTGCAAACTTGACAAAATAGCTATAAGCATTGCTAAAGAATGGGCTGATTAAAGAATTTCAAAATAACACACCAATTTTCTCGCTTGAACCAAGTGTTCAATCACTTCATGCCCTGCCCCTTGCTTACGTTATGACCAGTTTCCTGTTTAAATGCCATTTATATGAGAGGCCCATTATGCCTTAGAAATGCTTTAATTTTCATTTCTCGAAAACATTTTATTTTTTTGTGTCATATTATAGTTTCCAAAAGGTTAATCATTGGTCAATTATCTGAATCATTTTTGCTCATGTTGCTTTTTGGCAATTATTTGGCAATTATTAAACTTATAGTGCTTTGGTACTTTGTATGGAGGCCAAAATACTTCCTTGTTTACATGTTGCTACCTTTGTAACAAGTAATTTCACATTCCACACTACTTTCTTCAGGCATGTTACATGCTCTGAGACCATTATTTAATTGCTATAAAACTTGTCATTTCTTGACAAAGGAAAAAATCCGCTTCTGAGGCCTTATTCAATGTTATATATCAATACAATTTTCAAATCCTCACTAAAAGTGTTGTTACATAGAGTAAAGAAAAAATCCAAATCATCGATATTTTATAAAAACCGGCCCACCCTCTTGCAGACTAGTAGGTACATTCAAATGAAACCTGATAGGATATCCCAACTGTTAAAAAAGACTTGGCTATTTTTGTGGAAAAATGACTCCACAACAACTTAAGGTTAACTCGGCATTTTCTACATGCTATTATCATAAAGTATGTCCGGTTTACAAGGTACAGAACGCCTTGACTAAATAATGTCTTTATTTTGTTTAATTTGTTTTAGAAGTTGCGCGAATAAAATGGACTTTTGCACTGCCATACATTCTGTTAAATTATTATATATATGCCCTGCATAAAATTAAATACTTTCTATGGTTAAGTCTATGGATTTCAATTTGAGCAGACCCTAGTAAAGCATCTGTCCGGATTGCAGACACACTTGGCTCTTTACTGGCAGTTTACGGAAACTATCAACATTTCTAGCCTTTATAATAAGGTTATTGATATAGGTTATTATAGGTTAATAATAAGCAAAATATTTATGTATATTATACAATTATGTTTAAGATATTTACATGGCATATGTAATGTCTGATTAATTTAGATGATATAACATCTCGTTATTTCTTATCATAAGAAACAAATTAAAAATAAGTATTAATATATTGGTATGTTAAGGTATAATTGTCATAATTTAATATATCATTTTTCTCTCTTTGTCTTTTTAATAATACTAGATGTGTTGATAATACTTATTTCTTGGTTGGTTTAAACATATATTTATTTATATACATGTTAATAATTTATAATTTAAAGCAGAAAGGAATTGGACCGAGAGCTACAATATCTCAAAGTGGTAGTCACCTTTAACAAAAGCTTTACGTAAATGAAATACATGGCTTATTATAATTTTAATAAATACCCGATAAAGGGAGAAAATAAAGAAAAAATAAAAATAAGGATTTGATACTAGAAGTATTCAACAAAACTTATCTTGTTGTGCTGAAAGTTATAAACATGTTTGAAAATACACCCATGACTTCACCAAACTTTGTTACTCTCTGTCTGTAGCACTCAATTATCCCTCCCCCGTGATTCCCAATACGAGATATGCACCAGTTAAAGTGTCTGATATGTCAGTAACATATAAATGATATATTTCATTTAATATACATTTGTACTGAACAAACAAGATAACAGCAATCACCGGAAAATTAATCTTAAAAGTCAAAAGAAAAGGACGGGAAATGAAGTAGCCTCTTTCATTGTTTATATCACACTTCGATATATATACACCTTACTTGATCATTTATCAAACATAATGAAAAACGACTTACTAGTAGCTGAATGATGATTTTTTTTCTAATTCAACTGGTTTGCTTTTACCTCAAAAAAAGATCATACAAAAATGTTCGGAGCTTTGAACCAGTCACTTACATGTGAAGGAAACACGCACGTGATCACAGGCGGAGATGTTTTAAGATGTATTATCATCATTATCATTATGTTGCTGATCATAGTCGGGAATGTTTGCTGCCTTGTCGTGTTCAACAGTCCAAAGACGAAGAAACAGTTTATGAAGCGAGTTAGATACATGATGAACTCACTGTGTTGCACGGATTTGAGCATGGGACTGCTAATGTGTCCATCAACAATCTATCCAGCTCTCAAACATTGCTGGCCGCTCGGAGTTTTTATGTGTAAATTTGAAGCTCTTCTTATCTCAGCTTTGTTTCACGAATCAACATTAAATATGGTGTTAATAGCTATAGATCGTTGCTGTATTATACATTGTTCAAGATACAACAACATTATGACGTCAAAAAGGTTTTTGTTTGTCATCATAGGAACCTGGGTGACAGTATTCACTTGTTATGCTGTTGTTATTTTTGGAACAGATCAATTTTACTACGACAACATCGGAATAAACTGCGAGCCGTTTTATCTAGAACCGAAAGTAACGCTAACCGTTCTTAGTATATTCTATTTTGTACCAGCAGTTATATTTGTTGTCTGTTATGGTTCGATATACAGGACTGCCACACAGAGAAAGGTTTTGACTGTTTCTCCTGACGATAAGGTAAGTCATATCTTTCTTACTTATCTCTATGATTTGAAAATATCTCGATAAATCTACATAATTTAATTATTACATATTTCTATAGCGTACATATCATTACAATATAATACGCTGTACTTAAATACGAATTTGCAAGTTTTCTTTATTATGAATTAAGATTACAAATATATCGAAACTAATAAGCTAAATAATCTCACCACATTAACTATAATTGTTTGTTTTTAAGCATGGTAAAATGGTAAACGCTAACATACGGACATCGAAATACCTGGCAGCTATCACGGGTGGATTCTTCGTCGCTGTCTCACCGTGGACTCTTTGTACGCTCATTATCGTTGCCGCTAAAGTAACGCTTCCGGATGAAGCTGATTTCTTTGTCACGTGGTTAGCTCTTAGCAACAGTTTCTGGAACTGCCTGATATATGGATTAATGAACAGAAAATTTCGCCGCGCAGCATTGAAATTTGCATGTGGAAAGTGGAGTACAGTGTGCCTCAAGGGTCTGTCCTGGGACCCAAGAGCTATGTGATGTATACGAAACCTGTCGGAGAAATCTGCCGTAAACATGATCTAAACAACCATTTCTTCGCAGATGACTCACAACTCTATCTATCCTTCAAACCAGTGACTAATATTTCAATTCAAGAGAATATAAATCGTATTGAAAGATGTCTTGAAGATATTGTAAGTTGGATGAATGCCAACATGCTGAAGCTAAACGGCGATAAAACAGAGTTGATCATCTTCTCATCTGAACATAACGCACAACCTGTTTCAGATGTTACAGTAACAGTCGACGGTTCGAAAATTAGCCAATCATCTAGTGTGCGCAATCTTGGTGCATTTCTTGACTCGAACATGAGGATGGAACAACATGTAAATAATGTCTGTAGGAACTGTTATGCACAATTAAGACAAATCGGTCACATCAGACCCTTTATTACTGTTAAAGCAACCAAATTTCTAGTAAATTCACTTGTTACTTCTAGGTACTGTAATGCACTGTTATATGGAGTCTCTAAGCAGTCAATGACCAAGTTACAACATGTTCAAAATACAGCAGCTAGAATTGTGACCAAAACACTCAAATATGACCACATAACACCTATCTTACGTGAACTTCACTGGCTTCCGGTAGAGTATCGGGTCGAACATAAAATTTTGACTTATACATATAAATCCCTCATCGATCAATCACCAGCCTATATAAAAGACATGATAGACGTGTACATCCCAGTCAGAAATCTGAGGTCCCAGAATAACTCAATGACATTAGTTGTGCCTAAATCTCGGACAGTACGATATGGTGACAGGTGCTTCCAGACAGCCGCAGCGAAATTATGGAACGCGTTACCACCTGACGTTAGAGACTGTAATACCTTGCCATGTTTTAAGAGAGCTCTCAAAACACATTATTTCATAAAGTTCTATGGACGTTAGTTCATAAATCATCATACATGTACTACTTTTGCTATATTATCAGTGTTAATTTTAATTGTGCCTTGATTTTAAACTAAATGTGTCTGTATTTCTTACCATCCTTTACTGGTTTTAGATTATCATTATTGTTTAATAGGTTTACTTAATTAATGTTGTACATTATGTCTTATATATATATATATATGATTATGTTTTATCGGATTTATGTAAAGCACTCTTGAACATTTATTATTTATGAAAAGAGTGCTATAGAAATGTGGTATATAATAATAATAATAAAAAGTGGATTAAATCTATCAAGGAGTCCGTGTACGTAAAATCGCACGATGAAAGCAGGGACTTTAGTGAAGATTCTACAGCATATGCTAATTACAAACGTAGACAAAGTAACAAAAAGAAGGCCATGAGTAGAAATTGCGATGAGAACATGTCAATTACAGTAACAGGAAGCATGTCTGCCACAAATACACCAAACCATTCTCCTGCAACTATTCCAAAAATAGCATATACTAGAGCACAGCATAAACAAGTAACAGAACTGATTCAAGAAACTAAAGGACTGTGAGATTATTTACAAGAATTTGTGTTATCAGTCCTCATTAAGCGGAGAAACACTTCACACAATGATGATTTCTCATTCATTTTCCAAACGATATAACGACTATTTCCGGACTTAATTAGTACAAACGTTATCTGATTTTGATGTTGAAGCTTTAATAACAATGTAATTTGATGATAAGTGTTTATTGATATTGATTTGTCATACATGTATAACACTTACTCATTCAAGTTTCATTGCTATATTTCATGTATTTACAGTAAATTTGAACTTGGCATCTTTAATAGGTCTTGGACTGACTAAGATATGTGTCGAGCTTAAGTAACGATAGAAATTCAAACATGTCAATATGTAGATATAGTTTTGTACTGATAATAATTTTGTCATTTTTCAATGCAAATAAAATGTATTTTCCAATAACATGATTTCAAATTAGTGCACAAAGAAATAATGACAGGTTTTACTGTCTTACATTATGACAATATAAGTATATGGCATCTTTTATTGCCTTTTACATATTTGTAAATGACCAAACATTAATTCATTAATTAATGTCGACATCACAATAGATCTGAAACCTAAAATGATTAATGAAGTTTTCAATAGGAAGTATGAATGGATTCCTTCTCTTTGTGGAAGTATTTACTTTTGTGCACTTATTTCACAATATGCATTTACTTTGTTTGATGTCTTATGTTATCATTGTACATTTTGCCGTTTATGAAACACTCTTACATGACATGAAAGTAAACACTATTTCAATGAAACATTTTATCGTAACTTTGACTCATATCAGTAACAATTCAATTTCTTAATACAATGTAAAAAGTTTTGTTCTGCTGTTTATGATTCACAGTGCACTTTGCTTCCGTTTGCTTTATATGTAAATTATTTTATACGTTACATGCATAAATGCACAAACGAGGGTTGTTCGGGAAGTTCTGGGAATTTTCTCATATCTCCTATATTTTTTGTTTCTAAGACCTAATATTTTGCACATACTAAGATTCACGGGGGAGGAAGTGTTACACGAAGGATGGAGTTCTTATGATAACTTGTTTGGAGTTCTTATGATAACTGTCACGGAGTTCCTGGAAAATGTTACGGATTTCTGTGGAAAACCTTTCTATATACTTGGAGAACTCGCCTAAAAAATGGTTATTTTTAACTTTAAATGGGGAGTTTGAGGTGCTAAATTAAACTTTGATAATTAAGCTTGCCCTACATGTTGTATTTTGTTTCAGAAAAAATCTTTTAGTCCATATTTTGTCGCCTTTTTAAAAAAAATCTGCATGTTTTGAGAAAAATTACCAAATTACTTGCTAATTCGTACATATTGACCTTTTCATTTGTGATCTTCTTCGTTGCTATACTTAATTACCTAATTATTATGGAGAGTTGCAAACATAAAGCCCGGGCTAATAAATTTATACCCGAATTTTCAAATGTTTACGGAGTTCTTGCGATAACTCAAAATATGTCCTGGAGTTCTTATGATAACTTTTGTTACTGCCAGTGTGTTTTTGTGCTTAATCACGGCGCGTTTAAGCGTATTTTATTAGACAATAAGTGTGTAAATCATTATGAAGCATAGTACGCTTATCATTTGCACAAAAATTTGGTTATATAACGTTGGTTTTGATCGTGTTTTTCAGTTCAAGAGATATTTTTCTTACCTCCGTTTCTTGTGTTTTTTGTGTTTGTTTTGGTCTTTTTGTGTGTGTGTTTTTTATATTTTATTGGAATGACTGTAAACATACTTGATGTAGAGCATTTACTTACAGGATAAAAATACGCTTTGAATAATGATTTCGTCATATATACATTATTCCTGGCAGTTTTAGAGAACATTAAGTAACTATGCTATCGGTATGCATGTAAATGGTTTTCAGCAAAATAGGAGGTAGTATGCACTACCTTTATCTAAATTTAATGAGGTGGGTGTCGTCTTTATGTTTCAACAGGTATTTTAATTTCTAAAAGGTATCAGTTTTTGTCATAGAAACTTATAAAGTTCTATGACAATGATCACGGTGCATATCCATATCTGTACCCTCTTTGCGAAATCTGCTCAAACGGTACCCTCTTCGAACATGCACAGGTCATGCTCAGCTAAAAACAAACCAGCGATGGATAACAATCCAGTAAAATTTCATTGTAATAAGGAAAGGAGGTATGACACGTAGAAAAGATGTATACCACGGAACACTAGAATGTTTCATTTATGTGCTGCTTTGTCATGTGCACGTTTTTCATGTACTGCAAATTCACAATAAACTACAAAAAATCGACATATCTTGCCTCGCCCATCACATCGACATATTTTTTCGGGCTGAAATGAACCTATGGCTTGATTATATATGCATCACACATATTTAATATGTTCATATACATATCATCTTCGGACAAATGGCAGTATATTGTCAAAAATAAATGGAAAATTCATAAAAACGCCCTACTTTCGGTTTTGCAGCGGCACGGGCTACCTCTCTTCATTTGAATTTTCATGTCACAGGTACCCTCTCATTTTTTAACACATAGGTACCCTCAAAGCACGACAAATACTTTTATGTGTTAATCGCTAAGTATGTAATATTTATATATAAGTAAGAAATATTACATACATACTTAACGATTAACGCAAATAAAAGCATATGTCGTGCTTTGAGGGTACCTATGTGTTCAAAAATGAGAGGGTACCTGTGATATAAAAATTCAAATGAAGAGAGGTAGCCTGTGCCGCTGCAAAACCGAAAGTAGGGTGTTTTTATGAATTTTCCATTTATTTTTGACAATATACTGCCATTTGTCCAAAGATGATATGTATATGAACATATTAAATATGTGTGATGCATATATAATCAAGCCATAGGTTCATTTCAGCCCGAAAAAATATGTCGATGTGATGGGCGAGGCAAGACATGTCGATTTTTTGTAGCTTATTGTGAATTTGCAGTACATGAAAAACGTGCACATGACAAAGCAGCACATAATTAAAACATTCTAGTGTTCCGTGGTATACATCTTTTCTACGTGTCATACCTCCTTTCCTTATTACAATGAAATTTTACTGGATTGTTATCCATCGCTGGTTTGTTTTTAGCAGAGAATGACCTGTGCATGTTCGAAGAGGGTACCGTTTGAGCAGATTTCGCAAAGAGGGTACAGATATGGATATGCACCGTGATCATTGTCATAGAACTTTATAAGTTTCTATGACAAAAACTGATACCTTTTAGAAATTGAAAGACCCGTTGAAACATAAAGACGACACCCAACACACCTCATTAAATTTAGATAAAGGTAGTGCATACCACCTCCTATTTTGCTGAAAACCATTTACATGCATACCGATAGCATAGTTACTTAATGTTCTCTAAAACTGCCAGGAATAATGTATATATGACGAAATCATGATTCAAAGCGTATTTTTATCCTGTAAGTAAATGCTCTAAATCAAGTATGTTTACAGTCATTCCAATAAAATATAAAAAAACACACACACAAAAAGACCAAAACAAACACAAAAAACACAAGAAACGAAGGTAAGAAAAATATCTCTTGAACTGAAAAACACGATCAAAACCAACGTTATATAACCAAATTTTTGTGCAAATGATAAGCGTACTATGCTTCATAATGATTTACACACTTATTGTCTAATAAAATACGCTTAAACGCGCCGTGATTAAGCACAAAAACACACTGGCAGTAACAAAAGTTATCATAAGAACTCCAGGACATATTTTGAGTTATCGCAAGAACTCCGTAACATTTAAAAAATCGGGTATAAATCTATTAGCCCGGGCTTTATGTTTGCAGCTCTCCATAATAATTAGGTAATTAAGTATAGCAACGAAGAAGATCACAAATGAAAAGGTCAATATGTACGAATTAGCAAGTAATTTGGTAATTTTTCTCAAAACTTGCAA